GCAGCAGCTGCGAAAGTCACTCCTGCAGCAACTGCAGCTGCTGCGGCAAAGTCAGCAGCTGCGTAACAAAAGCAGTTGCTATAGCAGCAGCTGCTGCTGCAGCAAACGCTGCTGCCACAGACAGCAACAGGAGCTGCTGCTGCACAAGCTGCTGCAGCAGCAGCAGCAGTAGCCGCTGCAAGAACAACAGCAGTGTGCTGCCCTGTGAAGGGTTGCAGGGCTTGATGTTTGTGGTTGCATGTTATTTTAGTTGATTGTTTTGGTTTTGTTTTTGTATTTTTTTTAAACATATTTTTGCCTCATCGGGTGTACATACACCGCAGGGGGTCTTCTATTCGGCAAAGCTTTCGCTTGTCTCTGCCTAGCTGAGTTTCTACAGTCTCCAGAGATACACAGATAAACAAAACGAGCAGCCTGAGCTGTATGTACATACACCCCAGAAGGCTCTTAGTAGTGGCTCCCCGTTCCTTATCACTTCTTTGCATAAACGAAAAACAACACCAAGTGCTGGCGTTCTCTGCGAGAAGCACGCTGGGTTAACTGAACAGCAGCTAGCCAGAGAGCCTCCAGTCGGAGCTAGCCAGCTAGCTAGCTAGCTAGCTGGCTAGCTAGCTACCTAGTACAAGCGCCTAGCTAGTTAAGAACGGTGGTAGAGGTGACCGTGCAGGTCTAGTAACAGCTAGTTGGCTCTGCTAGCAGATAGCTAGCTATAGAGATACACTTCTGCTCAACAGCTCGCTAGCTAGCTAGCTAGCTAGCTAGCTAGCTGGGAGCAGCTCGCTAGCGCTCGTAATCGTTGTAGTGATTAGCGGATTAACAAGAAGGCTGTTTCGGTGCAGAAGGCCTGTCTAGTCTAGGGTCTAGGGTTCATGTCTAGGGTTTAGGGTCTAGGGTTTAGGTATAGGGTGTAGAGTCTAGGGTNGTCTAGGGTCTAGGGTTCATGTCTAGGGTTTAGGGTCTAGGGTTTAGGTATAGGGTGTAGAGTCTAGGGTTTAGGTACAGGGTTTAGGGTTTGGGGTTTAGGTATAGGGTTTAGGGTTTAGAGTTTAGTGTCCTCTGTAGAAGTAAGCCCGAAAGAAAACAAAGGGCCTTCGCATAGACTGCCAGCTCCGCCGTCTGCTGCCTCTAAGTACCTGTGAACCTCACGGCTGCACAAGACATATGCGGGCAGCAGCAGCAGCAGCAGCAGCAGCAGCAGCAGCAGCAGCAGTAGTAGTAGTAGCTTCACTACAAAGCGGAGTATTTCTGCTGCTGTGTTGTGGTGCTCGCAGTACCCGTGCCAGTTGCGTTTGCCTGAGAGCTAGCCAGGTACTGCTGCTGGTAGTGGTGCATGTACAGCTGAGGCATGAGAGCAGCAGTGATCTGCTGCATGTATGGGTTGGTTGCTGCAGCAGCAGCAGCTGTTGTCGTTGGCAGCGCAGCAGCAGCAGCAGCAGCAGCAGCAGCAGAGTTAACTGTTGCTTGAGTTCCATAAGGACTCGATACCTCTGTCCGCGTCCCTGAGCTTGTTGTAGTTGGCCACTGTGTAGCAGCAGCCTGCTGCAGCAACTGCTGCTGCAGCTGCTGCTGCAGTTGCTGCTGATACTGAGACCCTCCAAGCGGCAGCTGCTGCAGGTGTTGTGGGGGCAGGATCGCTCCTCCCCCCAGCTGCTGCTGCTTCCTCGACTCCGACGCCACGGAGACAAACGTAACTTGGCCTGCCAGCCCCAAACAGCACGCATGCAATACACCCCGCATGCAAGTACTACCCGCCTCANCGTAACTTGGCCTGCCAGCCCCAAACAGCACGCATGCAATACACCCCGCATGCAAGTACTACCCGCCTCACCCCCTCCCACAGCAGCGGCAGTCACCCCCGAAACATAAGCAGCAGCAGCAGCAGCAGCAGCAGCAGCATCAACAGCAGCAGCAACCTCAAGAGAAACAGCAGCAGCAACAGCACCACCATTATCCTCTCCCAACAGCAGCAGAAGCAACATGATCTAACCTCCCCCAACAGCAGCAGCAGCAGCAGCACTCCATACAAATATATATTTATAAATAAATAAATATATAAACATACCATCTATGACTCTCTGTGACTGATTGGCCGCTTTCATGAGTGCCTCTGGGTCTTCAAAGACAACAAACCCATACCCCTTTGATGTGCCGTCTCTGTTGCGTACTATTGCTGCTTCTCTCACTGTACCGAAACCCTCAAACTCTTGCTTCAGTCGACGCTCGTCACATGTGTCAGGTACGTTACGCACAAACAAACGGCAACCCTGGTTTGGACCCAGGAATGCACCTGCAAGGAATACATATATATATATATATATATATATA